AAATATTTTTGTCGTCGAGGTTGTCGTCGGTCGTCGCCGCGTCAGTGTGCAATGGCTCATAGGAAACAATAGTTTCTAATTTTCTGAAAAGTCGTTTGTCGTTACGGTCGGTCGTTGTCGCTGCAGTGTGTCGTGGCCTTTAGTGGGACTCAACAAACTTTCAAAACAAGAGAACAAACGCCATTTGTTAATGTTTTGTTTTAGTTTATGATCGGTAGATAAGTAAGTTTTTCGAATGTATATTCCATGAAAAACACATATTTTACTCATTAGTATAACATATAATATAACTATAATTGCAATTGTTTGTGTAAATGTGTTATTTTCATCTCCATATTAAAGTTATGAAAGGAGCTGGGCTCTCGTAATACTAGATACGTACGAATGTACTCGTACTATAGCCCTTCGCTCCGTCACAAGATCGTGTGTGTGTGAGTGCGTGCGTGTGCCTTTGCGTGTGTGCGCGCCGTGTGCCTATGCGTGTGCGTGCGCGCGTGTGTGTGTGTGCGTGTGAGTGTGCGTGTGTGCTAGCCGTGTGCCTATGCGTGTGTTAAACAGGCGTTTGGTTACTGTTAGCACCACAAAGACGCGATAACCACATCACACGTACATACATTACACACACATACATACATACACACACACACGCACGCACGCACGCACGTACGCACTTACGCAAACGCATACGCACACGCACACGCACACACACGCGTGCGCACACGCACACGCATAGGCACACGGCGCGCACACACGCAAAGTCACACGCGCGCGCGCACGCACACGCATAGGCACACGGCGCGCACACACTCAAAGGCACACGCACGCACTCACACACACACGATCCTGTGACGGAGCGAAGGGCTATAGAAGGGCGAGTACATTCGTACGTATGTAGTATTACGAGAGCCCAGCCTCTCTCATAACTTTAATATGGAGATGAAAATAACACATTTACATAAAGAATTGCAATCATAGTGATATTATATGTTATATTAATGAGTAAAATGTGTGTTTTTCATGGAATATACATCACAAAAACTTACGTATTT